TCACGAGATAACTCGTAATTGTTTTTTTCCTCCATTCTAGTATATTTGGACGAACATTTTCATCAGAATTTATGAAAAAAGAATGAGCAGGTATTATTTCAAAAAATGAAACATGGTGATGGCAGATTATATGATTAATTCATAGTCTTATTGAAGCACAGAAGATTGAGCAAGGCCGTAGATGGTATTGTGTATGCCAAATCATTTTGGAAGAATGATACATCATTGTTACGTTAACAAGCTTCTCCATAAGGATTTCTTGAAAAATAAATAAAAGAAAATGAAATTGACTTCTCCATAAGTTAAAATTTGCTTATGCATAAACTAATTTGGAGAATCTCTTATACAACTTCTCCAAATTTTTATTTTTAAGTTGTGCATTAACTAATTTTAACTTATGGAAAAGACAATTTTATTCGTTTCTTCCTATTTTTCTAAGGAAAAACTCGTCCAAAGAGGCTTTAAACCTAACACAATTGTTCAAATACATACATTATAATAAGCAATTTGAGTAACCGTGTAAAGAATTTTCACACTATCATCTAATTACAAATAGACATATATAGTAAATTTGTTGATTATATAATAACTATTTTAAAAGCTACATCTACAAATGATAGACTAACCTGACTAGAACTTTACACCGACAATGCCTAGAAATTAAACTTGTAAGTATTTGCTCTTCCTCCATATAACAATATTTCATAAGTTCATCATTTACATTACTTTCTCATGTTGCATCGGAGACAAACAGGTTGTACAGTGAGCAGAGCTAAGAGAGCAAAAGGAGCGTTGGAAAAATACTTTATAAAACACAAATTTGTCATTGAGTCAACAATATAATCAGGACCATTTCAATCATAGTTCTTTCTACCCATATTCTTCTTAAATGCATCTTCTGAAGCAAATACACAATTACCACCTAAAACAGATAATCACGAAGATAATATGATTGAAAAAATAAAAGGAAAATAGAAGTCGCAAAGATACTAATCTATTTCAAAATTACATGGGTTAAATCACCAAGAGGGGAATTTTGAAAGAAAGAAAGAATTGAAGAAAACGTTGTTGAACAAGAAAGAGATCTGCTCACCATTCCTGGGGAAGTTGAAGGATTGAAAAGAAATTTTGGCGCTTTTCATTCACAACTTTTGAATGCGACTAACACTCTCAGCTATGCAAAGAATACAGAGGCTGAAGAGACGACTGTGGAAGTGGCTTCTGGGTTCGCGTAGGTTCGATTTTCTAAATATTATTGAGTCAAAGAGGAAAATTAAGTCTAATAAATAAATTTAAAGTTTTAATAAAAAATAATTTTTTTCCCTAATAAAATATTAAAATATATAAAATATGAAAGATTAAATTTAACTATAAAATTTGAATAAATTAAAACAAAATCTTAAAAATAATTTAAATATCTCGTACTAATTTTTAGTAAGTCGTTTCGTTATATCTTATTATTAAAATACAATTTAATCATTTTATATTATAATAAAATATAATTTAGTATAATTATATTTCAATAATATTTAAGACTTATCAAAAAATGTGAAAGATAAAATTATTTTTAACAAGAATTAATTAACTAAAAAATTTATATTTTAGTATTTTAAAATAATCATTTAAACGATTTTCAAAAGTGAGTTTTGTAAACTTTTCTTTTGTACAAGTGATCACATTACTTATCCCATGGAAGCATGAAGCACATTCAATTTATATAAATTATAAAATTTTGGTATATATATAATTTTATAATTTTAGTATATATATAAATTATAAAATTTTGGTATATATAAAATTACTCTTGAAAGTGAAAGAAATATATATAATTTTAGTATATATATATATATATATATAAAATTTGGTTACGTTGTTAAAATAATATGTAAGTTTTAATATATTTTTTTATATGTTGCAATTAGTTATATGCTTATAAATATCATGTGTCAATTCAATTCAACTAAAATTAAACTTTCACTTTTTTTTAAATAGATCTCCTTTTTTAAGACATGTAATATTATGATATATTATTTGTAATTTGTTATTGAATTTAATCATTTGTTAAACATACAATTTTTTGGCATATAAATTTTTAACCTGATAAGTCATCAATTTCTTCACAAGTCCACCAAATATATCTAAAGTTCAATCATTTAAATTTAAAAATATATAAAGTCAAATACAAGTATAAGATATGTTTTAAATGTTATAATATATTAAAAAAATAAATTTGAAATTATATTTTTATTTATGTTAATAATATAAATTAGTGAAAGTATAACATATTATATTTAATCATATAAATAAATATGAAGATCTTAATATTTTATATGAGAAAAGAAAGTAAGTTTTGTGATTAATGTAAAGAAAGTCTTTAGAATTTATTCTGGGGTCCAGATTTTTAAAATTTTTATAATTTATAAGTTTGATTACTTAAATTTAATGGCTGTTAAATATATTTATTTTAAATATTTATTTTGATATTTCATATATTTTAAATTTTTTATTCATTTATTAATTATTAAAAATACATTATTTGATCTTATTTAAAAACAACAAAATTCTCTTTGACTTTCATTCATTCTTCATTATTTTATATTATTGTCTTAGTTCAACATCATTTTCTCTTTATTTCTAAAATTAAATTGTTAAAGCATATTATTATTAATCATTGAGGCACTACATTACAAATGTGTTGTGCACCCTACATTTAAATACTATAAGACTTTTGTAAAATATATATATATATATATATATATATATATATATATATATATATATATATATATATAATCAATTATTCTCTTGTTTTTTAGAGATAAAGTGTTCCTAATGCGTATTAAAGTTAGTCATGATGAGATAAAGTTTTATTTTATATAGGTTTAAATTTATATATTTTATGTTTTATGATTAATAGTGGGTTTTGTGTGGCAACAATGCACCTATTTTGTAAAATTTGACCATTTGTATTATTAGTCAAACTTTGTTTTCGTCTCCATCTACATGTCAGAAAAATTGAATTATTTAAAAACTTTAAACAAATTCACATATTAGAACATCAAATGTTAAATGATAGGTATAATTATATTTATAAATATAAAAAATAATAAAATATTATTCTTTTATAATTTTTATATTTAATTTTAAAACATAATATAATATTAAAACATATAATGTGTTAGTTATTGGGTGTTGAAAAATAATCACTATAAGTGTTTTTATTTTATTTTTTTTCGGAATTCTTTCAAGATATAACTACATGTAAAAGTTATTTTTATTTTTTAACTCTATCACTCTTTTTAAACTTTGTTATTAAGAGATAAAGATGAGAAAATAAAAAATAAAAAAGAAAGGAAAAAAAAGTATAAATATATATATATATATAATAAAATAATTTATATTTATTATTAATAATTTTATTTAACTCTATTTATTATTTATTTAATTATTTATTTATATTACAATAAAATAAACATATATATATAATAAAATATTCAAAAAAACATATTTTTGCAATTTTTTAAGTAAATCTTCATTTTTTTTTTAGAGTTTCTTGTTATCTAAGTGACTTACTTTCCATTCTTTTAAACGGAATCAAATGAATTCGCATTATTTCCTTCTCCTTTCTTCTCTTTCGCATTTAGCAAATACAATGTTTCAAGAATAGCATCTATTTTACGAAGAAAATATTTTTCTTTGGAAATTCTTATTTTATAAATTCCAAGAATTAAACGAAAAAAGTTTTATATTTTGGAGTCCAAAGTGAGGCTTACCTCCTAGTTACACAATTTTCACCAATTAATTCATGTTTAATATATATTTTCACACACTTAACTATTCAGGTAGAAGAATTTAACTAACAGTTCTTAGTATCGTTCTCCTCCTAGTTACACATTTTTCACCAATTAATTCATGTTTAATATATATTTTCACACGCTTAACTATTCGGGTAGAGGAATTTAACTAACAGTTCTTAGTATCGTTCTCCACCTAGATGCGCCAGCCGATATTCTCCACTATGTTAGGACTCGCTATTTCTACCTTCTACACGAAACAATGAGATACAAAATAGTCTTAACCTTTATGTTCAACCTTGATGTTCCCTTTGAAGGAATCTTTAAACTATTCTGTGAACCTGGTTGGGACCTAAGAACTCAGAATTCTTCCATAGAGACTTAGGATGAGAAAATTTCTCATGATTATTAGCACACAAAGAGGCTAACTTGGGGCTTTTGGCTGAGGGATGGCACCGTTATGTCCGAAGAGGTTCATATCGTCTGGATAAGAAGGGGTCTCAGTCCGAAATGGTATCAAAAATTAATTTACAATAAAAAATTACAAATAACATACTCTACCGAACAAGGGTTACAGCAAGTTAAACCAAAACTAGTGTCACTCCTAAAACCAATCCACCTACATGGAGAAGTAATGTAAAAAATGTTTGACAATATGAACAAAACTCACAAAGCACTTATTTTTTTGAACCTTACTCCTAAAGCACCATCAAAGAGGGGTGAAGAAAAGGACCAAAGCAACTATCAAAATCTTCAGTCTTAGTTCTAAGAGACTTGGTGCCAAGAGCAATTACCGCATGAGACAGTCTGTGTAGTATAGACACAACTATTCAAAGGCTTAAGATGCATTAAAATTGTGCTCATGTTATAGTGTTATTCTTTAGTCTTTTAATCAGTTGTGTTTATAAGTCTTATTTGAATAAATTTCTCTATAAAACTTGTTTGGAGAAGGAAAAGAATGAAGAGAAAAGTGAATCAAACTCCTAGGATAAGTAAAATCAACTTTTGTACCTGAACTTCGTAAGAAGTTATAGATGAGAGAAGCTATGTAAAAATTGAGGTGCATAAGTTGATTTTAACTTAAAAAGAGAAGTTTAATTCATTTTATCTTCTGTTGTAAGTGATTATCAAGAAACTTATTCAAACAGAACCATAGATATTATTCTCCTACAAGAATTTGCTCAAGTGGCAATGATATCCACACCACTACCTTCCCCTTCCATTGCTAATAGTTGCAGCAGCATCCTTGTTGAAAACAATTTCCACCTTAGGAGGATCAGAGTACCTTCTTGAAGCAGCAGCAGAAGGTGAGAAAGAAAGGCGTTTTCTTACTGCAGCACCTTCTTTTTCAGGTGAAGGCTTTTGGATTTTGGACCTGGCCTTGGCTGAGCTTGTAGGTGCCATGTAACTTGGAATGGCAGGGGAGCTTGCAAGGCTCTCATCATCTCTCACTGAGGATCCTGCAATGCTGTGTCGTCGATATCGCTCTGATTGAACGCTGAACATGCTTCTTGAGTCCTCATCTCCTCCCCAGACACTACCCTTTGAGTTTGATGGCCTTGCCTTGCCATTAGCAGATGGTGCCTTTGAAGGGGAAATGTGATGGACTGGTCTTCTTGGTTTTTGGCCAAAAGGGGAAGGTCTTTTGTCATGGCTATGGTCTTGGAGAGAATACACTTTGGTGATTTCTCCAACTGACATGGCACGGCTTGCTGCACTCTTCACAGATGCATGATCATTGTGATCCACAGTTCTGTGGCCATCCCATGGCCTAGTTGCCATCCACCTCTCTAGCCAACTCCACCCCCATTGGGGATTGTTTGGATCCATAAATGTGGGATTTAATGATTTTGAAGAGCCCTTCCATGTTTGCTGTTTGCCAAGTAATTAGTTATTATCATTACATCATAACAAAAAAACATTACTTTTGTTGGTACATATTTCTAACTCAATCAACAGGATCCAAGAGACAAAAAGATTTATAAACTTGTACAAGTGCATCATGCTGACCTAACGATTGCATCAAAAACCATGTAACTATTCACCAAGTCCTTGAATCCTATGACTATTTTATATGATCAACCCTGACTAGTTTTGCCAGAGAATGTGATGTGCAATAGCATTCTTTTGTAAATTGGTTTAATTAATTGTATTTCTGTAATGTAGGTTTGCAGATACTAGCTTCAGAATGCATGAATTAATAACCAGTGTAATATTACAGAACTGTACTACGGTAATATTTATTTCCCATAACATACATGTAGAATCACTAGAAAGAAGTTATTCCATAACTATTTTAATTATGCTGATTCATAATGCAGTTTAAGAAAAAACTGATAAATCTTACCTAGTTTAACTATGCTTCAGTTCTACAATTTTACATGAACAAATGTTATGAGCTATTTGTGAATAATTAGGGAACAAATCAAAGGACTTAATGTTGGAATGTGAAAATGGAATTATTTTGTCATTGTGTGAATTTTGGGCTTTTTAATCTCTCTATTCCACAAAAATCCATCAGAAATGAGAATAAGACAACAAATAAGGTAATCTGGCCACCTGATGTGAGAATGAATAGGCCAAAGCTCTCTCTCTTCTTAAAGCAGCTTCTTGCTTGTGCAACAATTTGGCTTCAATTTGCTCCTTTGACTGCCAACTATCATCCCATTCTTCTCCAACCTGCTGTAAAGCATTTGCCTCTTTAATACATAGTCATAAGCCAGCACTTATCATCACATATATCATTCCTTTCAAGCTTATGTTTTCAGATGAAAAATTGTAAATTCTCATAAAGAAATGGGTAAGAAAAGACTCAAACACTGGACAAGTCATTGGAGAAGTAAAATAATTTGACCCCTCTATCTAAAACAGTCAATACAAGCATATTTACATCTAAATTAACTCAACAAAACATTAAGTATAGTTCATTTGAAAAAATCACATTCAAGAATCTTAAGTAATAAAGAGAGAGCACATCAATCACACTGATTCATAACATTCACTGCTTCATAATAGATGAGGAAACATGAACATGATGCATACAGCAGCACGCAGCTTCTCAAGTTCTTTTTCATGTTTCTGCTGCAGTTGGCGCTGAAGAGCTAGGTTCTCTTCAGACATTCTAATTCTCCTTTCACGAATCTGAGACTGTAATCTTGCTAGAGTTTGCATACTTCGTAGAGTGCTAGTAGCTTGTCGTTTAACAGATTGCCCTTGCACTAAGGTTTTCAACCTCACCAAACCTCTCAAGGCACGCAATGCTCTTCTTGCCTGTAATTTCCAAAACGAGAACCACTCATTACATATGCAAACATAAAGCAACTTTAGCATAGGCACAAATTCTATTCATATCAAATAAACTGTTTCTCCAGAAGTTATACACCACAAACTTCTGTTGATAACCATGAAAATAAATTAAGTGGTACAAAAGGAAAATGAAACTCCTGATATATTTAGAATTTCTCCAAGTCATTGGAGCTTTCATGCAAAATCCTGCAAACCCAGTTACAACTTCTGTAAGTTTGGTTAAAGATTACTTGTGTTTAGAAAAAGCTAGTTGTAGGTGTGGCCTAATCATTTCTACTTCTAGCTTAGCCATAAATTCCAGTTTGTTGTGCCCAGTTACGAATTTCATAGTTTTTCTAGATACAAAGAGTACAAAATCTAAGTGCAAAATTATCATATCAAGATATGTTGTTCTCTTCTATCTCTTTTTATTTGTTCTGTATTTAACTGTATTATTATGTACAACCCTTGTAATGTAGACCCCTGTAATAATATGCCATATTTGGTTAAACTTCTTAATAAAATAAATACTTTTAAGAGAAGAAAAAAAAAAGTTAAAATGAAAAAGTTTCTTCCATAAGTTCAAATCAATTTCTCATATTTAACTTCTTCAAAAAATTATTTTAACTCGTGCATTAATTAATTTTAACAAAACTTGATTCAATTTACCCTCTTATTTTCTTCTCCTAAGATGGTCATTGAAAACTTTACACGAATAGAACTTGTTTGTATCCTTCCATTTCTTCAGCTGTATCTATCGAATTAGCTTAATTAACAAAAACCATCAAGAAGAGATGTAGACGTTTATGATAAAACATAACAGATTCCATTCTCCCTTGGGCTATGAAAAGAAAGTTCATCCATTTTCCAAATTTGTAAAGTCTAAGTAAATATGAAAAGAAGTGATTCAATACCATATGTCCACGAAATGCAGTCTGAATCCTGATAGCTGCAATTTCTTCCTTGGTCTTTCCAGTGTGATGTGGCATACTTGTCAGACGAACAACCTCTGCAGCAGCCTGAGCAGCAGCAACAGCAGCCTCTGCAGCAACAGCAGTGGCAAAAGCCAAAGAAGCAGCATGCTTGCTTTGTTCCTTCTCAGCCTCAATTAATTTAACATCTTCTATTTGTGGAAGAACAACTGCTGCTGCTACTTCCCCATCCTTGTCACTGCTTGCTTTCTTTGAATTGTGGCTTTTCTGTTTTTTCTTTCAATGCACAAAAAAGTGAAAGGGTTGTTTGAGTTAGTCATTGATCATGAAAATCATGTAAAAAAATCAAATTCTCTTTGAGAATACTAGCAACACAAGCTTTTAATATACAGTCTACTGTTGACTGAAATTTATTGAAAATCAGAAAATAAAGGTCTCACTTCTTAGTAATAACTTTTACTTACGGTTTTATAAATTCTAATTAGAGAAAATCTACAGTATTCTTGGAAATTTAAGGATTTTGGTACTTTATTGTGAAACTCGCTCCATTTCCATCGTTTTGTATGCTCAAACTCATTCAACTATGGCTCAACCTAACAAATAATTGTACCAAAACATTTAAATTTCTATGAACAGTTGAATAGCATAGAGAGTATCTAAGAAAAGTGTTGAAAAATGTGTTGCTAGTAATACTTGTTCTTTTTCCTTGTTCAATGAACATAATAGTTTAGTCAAACCTTATCTTTTTTGGAATCTGCACTGAAAACTTTCTTCACTGCAGAAAACCAGCTTCCTTTTTTCCCCATTTGCAATTCCTGTTACTTTGACGGAAAAGGGAAGCCAAATTAGATCTCAGTATCTACCCAAACATCATGCGTAGAAGGGAAATAAAAAAAAGACCAAACTTCTATTAAAAGCAATTAAAGTCAACACGGTTAAAAACCACAAACTCCTATTAATGCACTTTGAACTCCAAGGAAACCGTTGAAGAAAACATAACTCATGCATAGAATTGCGAAAGGAAACGTTAACAGAAACTCAAAACAGAAACTTTAAACGCTTTAAACAGATCGATGACAAACGTGTTTGATTAAAAAAAGATCAGTTTTTACTGAGAAGAACCAGAAACTGAAACCGAAACTGAATAGCAAAACCGCCATCCAACAAAGAAAACTAGAAGATTTCAGCAAGTTTTTACTTGTTAATGCGGTGAGAACAAATGGATAAGAACACGGTTCTAAATTTCCATCATAGAAAAGGATTTGTTTTGATAAAAAAGGTAACTTTCTTTTGCTGTGTAAAAATGAAGAAACACCCAGATATGATAATTTGAAAGCGAAAAACATGTTCGTTTTAAACCCGTGTCACGATTTCCAATTTCGAAAGCGAAAAACTACAAAAGAAGGGAAATTTAGTATGCTATGGACAAATGGCAAATGGAGAACAACCCACATATAGCATAAACCAAAACAAGTAGAAGAGAGCAAAAGAAGATAGTATGAATCCAGTACAAAACTTCCAGTTTTGAAAGCCAAAAAACTAGAAAAGAAAAAGGGAGCAAAAATGGAGAAATGCAAAAGAAAGAGGCAAATGAAGTGGAAAACATTCTAAGACCTTTGCATGAGAATCCCAGATTCCAAATAAAACTCAAAGGTACTTGGTATGGCAGAGTAATAGAAGAAGTTGACAAGGCCCACAAAAGAAGAAGAAAGAGGGACCAGATCTTGCGTTGAAGGAAACTTCAACTACCGGGAATGGAACATAACAATATCCACATGCTCGTTGGGTCCCAATTCTGTTTGGCAGACAAACTAAACAGAACAGAACAAAATAAACACCAACAGTAAACATATGTAACACGAAGAAATCAAAGAACAAAGACTAAATTATTTGGTTGCTCTGAACTAATTAATCAATGTAGTTCACAGAAATTAATTAGAACTTCTAACAATTTGTAAATATTGAGTTCTTAACTTTAAAAAAAATAGTTATTTGATAAAAATATAAAATGTTAGTTTAAGTTCTAACGAGAATATTTTTTATTTATATTTTGTTCTTATTATTATGTTTACTGTTTTAGCTTGTTCATAAATATTTTTGGAATTTTTGTTTATTTTCTTAATTTATTTTCTATCTTATAATGAACATAAAGGACATAATGCAACTTGTTTATGAATATTTTCAATTATGTAACACGCTATCAACATTTCAAATCAAATCATGAACCACATTTTTTCAACTTACCATAAATGCGTAAGCTCGAAAGTGGCACATTTTTTATATCAGACTTATTTGAATTGAAATTGCCTTTATAAGTTTTGAAAATTATTTATGTATAGGTAGAATTAAGAGGGTTGAAGATTATACTTAACAACATTTTGCTATTGATATTGGTGTATATATTTGATGAAGAGTTAACATGTTGGTAAATTTGTTATGGCGTAAAAATGTTGATATTAATTGTTGTGTTTTATGTTGTGTATCATACTATTTATATTTATATATAAATCCTCAAGAGCATTACTATATTTTATAGTATTTCTATTAAGTTTGCATATCATGAAACCATCTTTCATTTGTTAAATACAAAAGATTATATATTCAATAAAAACAAAATAGAAGATCATGGTACCAAACTAAAATTCATGAAGACCATTATACTTAATTTATAATCCGAAGACTAAATCTATTCCAAAAAAAAAAACATTAAAAGCATATAATCATAACGTTGAAATTGAATCTTATTCTTGTTACATATTTTTTTTATTATTATATATTATAAAAATATTACACAGTGTCAAAATTTTGTAATGAAGTTTTCTCTGCACTGTAATTTATATATATATTTATATATATATATATATATATATATATATATATATATATATATATATATATATATATATATATATATATATATATATATATGTGTGTGTGTGTGTGAAGGGGAAGAAATGATTCTCCCTCCCATCCTTCTTTTTCTTTCGTCTAAATTTTAAACAAACGATATTCTACTTGTGCAGGGTCTGGTGAAGCGAGAGAGAACTTGAATTAAGTGGGAAAGCTTCGATAGAAATACCACACCAGGTAAAGAAAAGTTTAATTCATTCAATACATGAAACTGAATTACTGGTTACTTTGTGAATAAGGAATAGGAGTGGAAATCTGAATATTTGAACGACTAATTTTGAAAATTTTTTCATGTTTTGCAAAACTTGAAATTTTGTTGAAATTATTGAAATTAAGGATGAATTATATGACAAAATTATTGTTTTCAACTTAAATTGAACATAATTCATGTTTAATTTGGATCTAGAACCAGTTTGGGTGTTTGAAACTTAGAAATTTGAAACATGGAGGTTGGACATGGCATACTGGGAATCAGAGGTTGAAGATGAGGGTAAATTGAGAATTTTTTAAAAAAGATCAAGGGTAAAATAGTCATTTTACATCCTAGGGAAATAAATGGAAATTTCAAAAATGTTCAAGGGTAAAACAGTCATTTTAGGGACATGGAAGGAATTTTTGAAAATGTTCAAGGGTAAAATAGCCATTTTCGGGACATGGAAAGAATTTTTGAAAATGTAGGGTAAAATAGTTATTTTCAGGATATGGAAGGAATTTTCGAAAATGTCCAAGGATAAAATAGTCATTTAGGGACATACATTAAATTTTAAGAAAATATTAAGGGCAAAATAGTAATTTAATAATTTCGGGATGAAAAAGGAATAATAGAAAATGTTTAAAGGTATAATTGGAATTTTAGAAATAAATTAAAGGTATGTTAGGAAAAATAATTAAAATATAGAATGAAATTATAAATTTTAAAGAATCAGCAGTGTGTTGTGACGAGTGTGGGTCAGACTGAGCCCGAGGGCTGATACCCAGAATCAGTCATGAGATGTTATGTATTGGCTAGACTGAGTCGAAGGGTTAATACCCAAAATCAGTTAAGTACTATTATTTATTGACCCGAATGAGCCGTGAGGACAGGTGGTCCAGAATCCGACAGATGTGAATGATTGTTGTTGTATTTGAATGATACCCGGGTTGGTACAGAGTATATTAGTGTATTAAATATGTCGGAGGATTTGATGAGGTCCCAGACTTCACTGATTGGTCAGGTCAGGTAGACTACGAGATCAGGTGGTGAGAAGTCGATGGAGGATAACTGGTGACGTGCTCGGAGGGGTACTCCAGTATGAATGATGAAGGACGCCAGTAATCCCACTTTGTGTGAAGGGTAGTCAGAATGGTACTGTGAGTGTCGACCACAATGTGCCCACAGATGATAGTCTCTGAGTTCGAGCATAGTTAGGATAGACTTCTGGAAGGCGTCTTAATGTATTGATTATTTGTAATTGATGATAATATGTAATTATTACTTCCATATATGTTTTATTATATTGAATGATTTAATACTTACCCCTATTTTTTCATGTGGATGGGACTGGGATGATCACTTTTATGTGGGAGCAGATCAGGAGTTGAGAGGTGGAGATGCGACTACTGGACAACATGGATAGTTCAGTGGGGTAGCTTTGTGGGAGCTACTTTTGCATGTATCTATATAAATAAATTATGTTACTATATTTTGAGGTTCCGCCAATGAACCGGGAATTCAGTCTATATTACAATTACAGTAATATAATGTAATATAGATGTTGTTATTTACTTGTTTACTATTTTGCGAAGGTATCATTATAGTAGTGATTTCTATGATCGTTACAATTCTAAATATTCATGTTATCATAATATCTGTATATTTACTTTCATAAAAATATGAGATATATAAACTTGCATAACATTATACAAGTATTATATATTTTAGCCATATACATTTAACAAATCAAGAAAAACATTCACATTATTATAATTCTTCATTATCGTAGTTGAATATATTTCAATTCAAAATCGATCGTTATAAGTAATTTTCAAACATAAAATTGTTAGAAACAATGGTCAAGATCTAGAGAAGGTTAAATTAATCTTTTTAAAATCTTTTTACAAAACTCAATTCTTTAATAATAGAATCAACCTTTTCAAGAATTAATTGATATAGGTCTTTAAAGAACAAATTAAAGAACACGATAATAAGAAAGGGAAAGAGATAAAACACAACAAATTATATTGGTTCACCCAATTTTTTGGACTACATCAAGTTCTCAGTTCAATCCAACTGAGTATAATACTAAAAACAAAATTCAATTACAAATATACTAGTAGAAAACACCTATCTACTACATCAGAGTCTTAATCTACCAAGACCAACTTATGATTACGCTAGTGATTAAACCCAGTCACCAAACACTAGTATCACACACCAAGTATCCACACGAACCAAAACGAAACTAGATATAATAGAAAGAAATCACCTACAAATGATTATGCAGAAACAATCTAAGTGCAATGGCTCAAGATTTTTTCCAAAACAATTTCATAGCATAAGCACGAATGTCTCTCTCAAAATCCTTCTCAAAACTCGCTTGAAAGATTGGTAAAATTGTGTGTATAAAATGAAAGAGAAAATTTGTTTATATAGAGTTCCCTATCAACTTTAATTTATTAAAATGTAATTTAAATCAATTAATTTCACTTAAACATCCATTTAATAGGTTATTTCATGTTTTTAGTCGATTAAAACAAAGAGGTTAAAATACATGAAATTTTCAATAAGTTTTTTTAACTTATAAAAACTATTAAAACAGTGCAACCAAGAAGTTTCATGATTCCAATAATGCATTGTAACTGATGAAAATGTGTTTAATCGATTAAAATAGAGAGTAAAAAATCTTTCTAAGTTAGT